CACACACACACACACACACACACACACACACACACACACACACACACCTTCCCCTCCCTTCTCAGGGCCAAACAAGCACCATCATCCTTCAATGTCAGCTCATCGATTGATCTGCTGCTTAAGCCCCTGCCGTGAGTCGGCATTGGTCAGATACAAAGCCACACAAGGCAATTCATCACTGAGCCCCAAACACTTAGTTTGACAGTCAGAGAGGGAAGAGGAGGAGGAGAGACTGATAGAAGCAGAGATGAGATGAAGCGAGGAGAAAGGAGGACGGAGGAAGAAGGAAAGTGGAAGGGGAAAGGGAAAAGGAAACACCGATAAAGTGTGTGAAAGAGGGACTGATGTTGAATGTCTTTTTAACCTCAGCAGCGCCTTGTCCACACAGAACTTCTACACCTGAAGTACTTCTACGCCTCGCTGTCAATGACTGCTTGGCTCTCATAGTCACCTCCCGAGCCTTACAACTGCCTCTTTTGTTCAGGCGTGTTAGTGAAAAGGTGTAATGTATCAAGAGAAAGAGTAAGAACAAGAAAGAGAGGGAGACGGAGTGCAGTTGAGACCTTCTGAGGCTGGAATTCGGGCAGCATGACGCAGGTGGCGCCCACCCAGAGCGGGCACAGCAGCTTGTTAACGATGCCATGCACATGGTGGAGCGGCAAGGTGTGGAGGATGACGTCATCTTTGGACCACGCCCACTCTGAAACCAGACACTGGACCTGGGGGTGAGGGGGGTAAGCAGGGGAAGGAAAGAACGGATAGGGTCAGCAACCTCTACCAGTTGCAGATATTTGTCTTGTTATTTTGTGGTGTTGTGGTGCAGTCAAGTTGGTTTTTTACCTCGTTTCCTACTAGACTGCTGTATTCAAACCTTAATTAGTCATTTCCTGCTGCTTCAAGAATGACTTCTGACAACCGCTGCGAACAGTGAATTTGGTTGCAGTTGGAGAGCATAATAATAACTCAAGATCATTATAATCTAACTGCATTATTATTCTACTGAGACTCCTGTTGACACTCCACGTGGCAGCGTTCGAGCTGTGTGTGTGTTGATGTGGAGTTTTCTATGTTCGATCCCTGTGTGCCGGGGTTGGTAGCGTGACTTATCAGTTGGACTTGTAATGTGGTCTTGGATTTGGGTCTTACGTTGTTACTTTTGATAATCAGCACCGCTTTCCTTTTAGAAAGTAGTTTTCAGATTTTGATTATTTGTCCGTAGTCCTTGACTCTCTTTCCCTGGGTTTATTTTACTGTCACTGCCCTCGTCCCCTGGAAGAAAATGAACAACAAACATCAAAATAGGCTCATTTCTTTTAGGCTCTATATGATTGTTTGATTTGTCACGTTTGTGAAGCCAGTTGTTATTATGCAATACCGCCTTTTAAGTGTTGTCATACAAGGCCGGAGTTGTAAATGGTGAATTGGGACTTTTTCTTGTAGAAATTGAGCCCCGAGTTACCTCGGGAATGAAGGACATGAACGTCTACTTTTTTCGAGTAAAGTAAATTCTATTTATATACCTGTAGCTCCAAAACAACAATTTTGTCTTGTGCAACAAACAACCCCCTCTATCCTATCCTAAGCCAACATTAGATTTGATTATGGAGGGCATGGCCACAGATTGAACTTCATTCTTGTGCTGCTGAAACCACTGATACTATTGCTTAGCAGTATACAGGGGAACTGAGTCTGAGTTTTATGTTCGTGGCTGTGAATATTAAATAATGGAGGAACACAAGAAATCTGTGTGTGTCGCAGTAGGCTGAGAAAAAAATTATAATTCGTACATTAGAGATATAATTAACTGCATTACATTGTCCAGGTATCCTGGTTATTGTGTTCTGTTCACTGAGGTAATAAAGTATAATCTTCCCTTCTTTATGACCAGTAAAACATCTACCGCATGCTTCTGAATGTAAATGCAAATGAATTGATTGTATTGTTTTTACATTCACTGGGAGAGAACATTTTGTGGATATATAAACATTGTCAAAGACAACAAAAACGGTGGAAGTTTGGGATCAGATCATACATTTGGAAGTTATACAGCAGATTTAGTTTGCTTCAAGTCTTCATTCACATTAACCTGACAGAGGAGCTTTCCAGGAAATCTGACAACCTGATGTTGTTGCCCTCCAGGAAAACAGACAGACTCACTTAATCATCTACTCACTCACTTCCCTGGGCCAACCAGAGGCATTTGAAGCTCTGCCTTCTTTCAGATGGATTTAATTTTCCACACTATTGGACATGTAGGTCAATTTCACTGAAAAAAATATACAGGAAAATCTTCAGGAGATCTCTAATGGCATAAATTGGTGATTATTCAGAAAGCTCGAGTGGAACAAAAGAGGAAGGAGGCTAATCAGGGAGTCAAATGAGGGTGTGGGGATGTCTAAATGACGTGGATATATTTGATTGGAGCTCCGGATAGTCACTTCACCGCGTGAAACATCAAATGTCATGTTTTAAATAGGCCTAAATCAAACTCAGAAGACCAACATGGAAAGCATGAAAAAGATCATGTTAATTTAGCAATTGCGTTGAAAAAATAGATTTCTGACTCTGAAGTCACTGATGTCCGAGCTTCCTAAAGCACCTGAACACACCATCAAAGAGGCATTCAGAGCCCCCATAGTATGTTAATTAATTGGATATAATACATCTGGAAAAAACATAAGTTCAATAAAGTCCCTTGAATGAATTTGATATTAACCAACACAGAAACTATTTCAAATATTATTTAAAAATTACAGAGATGTTATCAATTAGGTTAATGATTTTACAGTATTACATAAAGACTATGGTAAACTGTGAAACAGTGTTACGTTTATCTGACGTAAAGGTTTAGGATAATCTAAAAGATACAAAGAGTTGACTCACAACACACACTGCTCGTTATTTTAAGTCCATAAGCACAAACTGTACTGTCCACTATGTCAAAGCTTTGAACCAATCTTTTTCACTGTTGATAGACATGTCTTGTTAGTCCAACTAGAAGCCAGTGGGGCTCATTCGCTAATATCTTCAAAAGCTATTTCTTAAATTTGTTCTTGAGAAAGGCAAGTCTACTTCACTTTCATGGCATGTTCTTCAACCACAGACTAACTCTTACAATGATGAACTCCATCGTCCTCGTGAACTGAAAGCGCGTGTGCCAGTCGATCCTAATTAACACAGAGAAACGCTCCGCCAGTCGCCATGAAAGTGCATGAGACTACAGGGCTGTGTGCATCATTGAAAAAGAAAGGTTGAGAGAATTAAGTCAAGAATGCCCAAACGAAAGTCGAAAGAGGGTGAAGCCCTTTTACAAAAAAAACAAAAGTTTGAAAGTGGTGTTACTTCTGCAGAACGTAAACGCCAAACCAGCCGTCATATTTAGTGTCAGCAGAGGATTTTAAATAACTAAGAAAAAGATGCATGGGATGATATCACTCGTTCAGTGCTGAAATATTTGTTTAGTGTTTATTCATGTTTTAAGACTATGCTTTGTTACAAATATGTCAGCACTCAAGTGTTCTTGAGTGTGCGTACAATCTGCTCTTACCGAAGAACAAATCCCAAAAAAGGAAACATTGTTGAATGCCAGAATCTTCACAAAAAGTGGGTTTTAAGAAGACATTTAAGAAGGAAAGTAACTTGCTTTGTCTCCAATGTGATTGTGGTTTAGAAGGCAGCATTTACCATGGCGTGGAGGCCTCTGTGTGTATGTAGAACTCCCTTGGGTCTCCCTGTGGTACCACTGGTGTAGATGATCATAGCTGGTCGATCAGCCCAGTCTGTGACGTCTCCCGTCTCCTTCTCTTGGACGTCTGCCCCTTCTGAAGTGCCCAGGTTAGAAGTAGAGGGCAGTGTCAGACATGGCAGCCCCAGCCTCTCTGCCAGTGGCTCAAGCGTTTCAGCATAGGGATGCCCTGCCACCAGCAGTGAACTCTGGGAGTCAGAGATGACGTACTCAAGCTCAGATTCAGGGTGTTTTCGGTAGAGCGGCACTGCCGTCCCTCCACTCATCCAAGCGGCCCACTGTGCCACCGTATAGGAAGCATCATTAGCACACAGGAAGGATACACGTTTCCCTTCCAGACCCCCAAATTCAGAGTTCAGGGCGGTGCTGATTCTATCTGCAAGACCTAAGCTGCTGCGGTACAGCTGCTTGTAGCTGTGTCCGCCACTGCTGTCAATGATTGCAAGCTTATCTCCAAATGCTGGGGCTCTTTTAAACACGGGCTTCTGGTTTATCCTTGATGATGGCGCTGTAGTCCATCTATGAGCCCCTCTTTGAACCACAGTTCCCAGTAGCCGTTGCCCTCGCTTTGAGGGGCTATAGGTTTTGTAAAGAGTGGCTTTCCAGTGAGGTAATGTCCACTTCAGAGAGTGGCAGGCAGCAGCAACGTGTCCTGACAGCATGTTTGAGATTTTCAGACCCTCTGGAGTCCGAACCTTAAGACAGCTCCATCCTCAGCCTCTTGCGCACTGCTTATATCCGACATCTGAGAGTTAGGAGGGAAATAAAGGCTTAGTTTCATCAACAAGCACACAAAGTTTGATCTATCTCTGTATTATTGAATTTGACCAGGTGAGAGTCACTTTTCCCACCACATTTAATATTTATTGATTCGTTCCGTGTTCTTTTTGTCATTGCCACGTTACCGGATTCAGTAAGGTTAAGCTTAATGCTGACCGTTGACGTTATGACATTATTTAACGTTAGGTAACTGACAGCGACAGACTGAAGACAACTCCGATAATAACCAGGGACAGCAGCGAAAAATACGGACAATAAAATCTCCTTTCTACAGCAAATACGATATGAATATTTCTAAAGTAATGCCTGTGTTCCTCTGCACAAATATCTACTGTCATTCATATTCACCTTACCATAAACATAAGCCCCGGTACGTCTTGTAGTGGAGGACGGTGCAACAGCATTACTCTTCCGAAATGAAACGATGTGCTTCAATGGTTCCTGCCTCGTAAGTTCCGTACACACTCCAGATCCTAAGTGACAACTGGCTTTAAAAATATTGTTTTTAATTGTCCAAGAACATTGTGTTTTGTTATTTTAGTGACGTTTTACTTACTTTTATTCCACAATATGGAATAATTTAAATACACATCTCTGCAGGTATAAATTATATTGCATTTAGATTTAATTAATTGAAGTATTTTGAACATTCAGCCTTTTTGATATTTTTAAGTTTAAATGTTACACATGATCTGACGCAGTACTTTGTAGGATACTAAATGTCAGAGGTAACAGTAATTTAGATCTATTTACTAATTTAATTACAGGCCACAGACAGCTAGTATATTATACATTTATCATTTATTAGGGCTACTAGCATGTCAGGTTGTTGTTATCTGCCATCTTGTGATTCTTAACTCAGCTTGGTGGTTGTTGGCAAGACTCCCCCCCTTTAATTTTTTAGGACCTGCAGATCCAGTGGAGAGGCTGCTCACCATGAGCTGAGGACAGGGGATGGGAGAATGCAGTATATATGCAGCTACCACACACAGAGCTGTGTTTGGCTTTAGATCACATGCCAGTCCTACCACTCAGTGTGCCAACTAGCTTGGCTGGCTTCATCATCACAGTGCAAGTGGGCACATTCAGCCGCCAGCTGGCAGTCGCGTGCCTCAGATAAGAGAATGGTACAGACATGGCACACGTTCAAAAAGTTTTCACTTCCCTCCCCAAACCCCCTACACTGCAAACGATGATGGCATGTTCCTAACGAAATTGGAGCCTTTGTTTCAGAGAACTCCCCTCCACTCTCAGGAATAGTATCGTCAAAGACCACACGTCCCCATTCGTGGGGAAAACGCTATTCAAGGGGATGCTATGCTATCCCGGCAGCAATGTAATTTCCAGAGACTCCTTTATTTGTAAGCCATTTGCACAGTCTTTAGTCTTTTTTCTTGCAGATGGCGGTGCCGCATTTTCTCAGGATTCAACCTAAAAAAGATTGAATGACGTCTTCGATGAAACGAAATAGGGCACAGACGACCCATGTTTTTGGATTTGATTCCTGGAAGTTGGCCATATTTTTGCCTTGCATTGTATGGGGACTGGAATCTGAGCAGTTGAAGGAGTTATCTACAGCTACTGGAGACAGCGGGGATGGCTGAAGAGTGGAAGATGATATAGGGCATCACGCATATCACTGTTTGTCAGCGGTGAGAGGACAAGACATTGATAAGGAGTTATGGCTACGGTTATGGCGAAAACATGATTAGACAGAGTATCCAGCAGAAGCTGGCATTCTGTTGCAATGGCCTGCTGCCAACACGCCATACAACAACGGACACCTGAAAGGATCCAGCCAGTGATGGGCAGGACGGCCGCGAGCAGGCGCCAATTCCCATCTTGGCAAAGGACTGCGTCTGAGGAAAAGAGAACGAGGGAAAGAGGGGACCCCCCACAGATCTGGGAGAGAGTCTGAGATGGTAACACAAACCGTGGGGAGTACCCAAGCATGTGTCAGGTTGGCATCAATGTGAGAATCTCTTGGCAAGCGCTCCGCTCTCTCCCCTCCCACCCCAGCTCACACACAAACACACTGTTGCCCTGCTTGGAACACATGGTACATCAGCAGCGGCATCTGGCCGCGCTGACTCCTGGCAGCTGCGCTTCGTCTTCGCCAGTTGGGAGTCTTGGCACTGCCACTTCATCAACTACCTGTGGCTCCTCCTGGGTAAAAAGGCGAGCGATGAATTATTCCGAGGCTGCAGCTGCAAACTTGACTTTCATCCAAGAGATTCACTGTAAACATATGACTGCCTCACAGAGCACATGCCACCCACATACTAATGCACGGTTGACAACATGGCTTGTATTCTGCGCAGAGGGACTTGTGTGACCGCACGTGATGGCATGGTTCATTTGAGGTGAAAGATGAAGGATGCTTTGTGATGATTCCCTATGTGATGTATGTCAAACGCAAGTGCTTCCAAAGAGGCTCGGGGAGAAACAACCCATGGACAACTGGAAGCTCTTGGCTTACCCAAAGTGTGTTTATTCATTCTTTTAAAGCATCAAATCAACAAAAGCAAAGTGAGCAAAAGTGCCAGCAACATTCAGAAAGGGACTGCATTTTGGGCTCAGTGCTCTTCATCCGGCAGCTTTGGCCCATCTCTTTGTGTTGAGAAATGGCGTTGAAAGATCAAATGAAAAGGCAGCCAAGGATTACACTGAAAGGAATTTCCCTCCCATTTTTCTAATGAACAAATGGACGAGTGACCTTTCAACTCTGCAATTATTGGCTCACATTCCATTTACGATGGAGGTTTTGACAACCAAGGACATTTGCCTGAAGTGCTCTGAATACAATTTAGCTGTGACAGCTTTGTCTGAAGATTACCCCATTACACTTTTTTTACCTTTTGTCTCGGAATATACCATCTACTGGTCTGGGTGATTCCATTTAGACTCTTCTCCACCTGTCAAGGTGTTGGGTTCTCTTGCACTCTCAATTGATTTCCTGATGCACTCCCAGGGAATAAACCCAAAGCTTTCATTGTAACTCAAATGTCATCTTTCATGCTATCCAGGTTTGATAGCAGTTTGCAAAAAATGATATTTACTGTTTGTTTACTGTGATCACAGTTGCAGTATTAAATGGCAACATCATGAACATTAACCCACGTTATTAATCATGTTAATTTGACTCTGTTTATACTTGAAGTAAAGGAAAGGAGAGCAGCAGAGGGAAGAGAAGTTTAAAAAAGCAGAAAGCTGAAATGTGATGTCAGGGATTTTTGACATCCACTGGATGTCTTTAGACTTCATGGTTTGCTCTCAGCTACTCAAGCACAGCGTGACCCAATTTGAATTCAAAACTTGTGTTAGTATTTAGTTCTAGCCTTGTTTCAAGAGAAATGTTGGCAAGCTGTTAGAATCTGTCAAAACCTGCCTACATCTCTCCCTTACACATACATACACACACACACACACACACACACACACACACACACACACACACACACA